CCTCCGTCTTCCAGAAGCCCGTCCGCTTCCAGGTGGACATCAGCTCCTCTGAGGGTCCAGAGCCCTCCCCGCGCCGGGATGGCAGCAGTGGCGGTGGCATCTACTCCGTCACCTTCACTCTCATCTCCGGTGAGTCAGCAGGACTGCTCCCTGTGTTCCGTGTGTGTGTGTGTGTGTGTGTGTGTGTGTAAGACTTTTAGATAGGAGAGTGAGCCAGGAGGGCAGCCAAAGGGAGAGGGCGTCCCCGCGCTGAGCTCCTTCTCATACAGACCCCCACGTACTTCTCTTCCCTGGGGAGAGTTTGCAATGTAAATAATGAGTGCATCGTTGGATGGAAGTTCCCCAGCAGCCTCTGAGGTGTTAGCAGTCACCCATATTACAGAAGAGAAAACTGAGTCCTGGAGAGGTAAATGGACTTGACCACGCCACACAATAAGCTGGACAGAGCTGGGGCTTAACCTTGGCCTCCGGACCTCATGGTCCACAGCAGAGCTCTTCCTACAACTTTAAGATCCTAGATGAGATGAAGACTAGGCATGCTGCCCTTAAAGATCAGTCCCGAAGCAGCGCAGACATCACAGCCAATGGCAGCAGTCTCCCTGCTGAGCCTGGCTGCAGCCATGGCCAATCAAGAATCGGTCAAGAGATGGAAACCACAGGAAGGCCTTGCTCCAGCTCGGCTTGTTCCTGATCCTCACTGTGGGAGCTTGGATAACAAGGGCCATCTCTGTTTGCTCTCCTCATCGCTGATCTTAACTGCACACCAGGAGAGAGAGAGAGCTCCAGAGGTTTCTAAAGCAGGCTGCAGGGGAACCCTGGGTGCCCCGACACTGGAAAGAATTAGAGCCCTTTTTTTTCCTCCCCCTAAGACTAATACGCAGAACTTTCTTCATTTTAATTTTTTTTTCTCCCCCTCATTTTTCTCATGTGTCTGGCTCTTCAAGGCCTCAACTAGAAACAAATAAGCAACAGCATCTATTTAAATAGAAACCCACACCTGTTGTTATTTTAAGTTGAGGGTGTCTTAGTTTGAAAGGTTCTTTAAATAGCAAGGTAGAGACCCATTTGCAAACCTGGTTCTATGCTGTCCCCACAGAGTGGGGGAAGCTGAGGCTTAGAGGAGTCTTTGCTTGGTGGAGAGGCTGGGCTTTGCAGCCAGGAGGGCTTCCCTACCCTCCCAAGTCAGTGCTTCCTGTCGCCTGCCCCCAGGTCCCAGCCGACGATTCAAGCGCGTGGTGGAAACCATCCAGGCGCAGCTGCTGAGCACTCACGACCAGCCCTCTGTGCAGGCCCTGGCAGGTGAGTGGCAGGGCCCGTGGGTGGAGGCAGACAGGGCCTCAGGGTGAGGAAGCCAGCCCACCTGTTGGGCTTCTTGGCCCTGGATGTGCTGAGGCCTTGCCTTCTGAGCAGGTTCCCGCAGGCTGAGGCCAGAGAAGGGACCCCTGGCACCTGAATGCTGGCCTCCCGGAGTAGCCATGCAGCTGGGGGCAGTGGAACATCCTGGCACAGAGGTTCTGGACCTCTGCCCTGCAGGACGCGGCCCGTCATCCTGGTTTCCCTGGCACTGATGGGAGGTTCTGGGATGCAAGACTTTTAGTTGGAAACTTGGACAAATTGATGGTCTTGCAGGACTCAGATGTCACTGGCATTCGAGGATTCAGGCCTCAGCTGGCCCTGTTGCTAGGGCCTCGTGGTCTGTAGCAATCAGGGGGCGGAGCAGAGGCCAGGCCTCCCTCTGCAGGATTTGTTGCCAAAACGTCTTACTCCCTTGGAGCCGCGAAAAGAAAATCCCATGGGTGACTCTGAAACAGCAGAAATGCATTGTCTCCCAGTCTGGAGGCTGGAAGTCCAAGAGGAAGGCACTAACACACTCAGTGCCTGGCTGGCGTCCGTCCCTGGCTCGTAGATGGCGCACCCTTAGTCCTCACTTGAGGGAAGGAGCAGGGGAGCTCCCCAGGTCTCTCACAAGGGCACCAACCCCATTCACATAGTCTCCGCCCCCATGACCTGGTCACCTCCCAAAAGCCATTTCCCTATACCATCACTTTGGGGTTGGGACTTCAGCAGACGAATCTGGGGGACACACCGTTCACACAGGTGTGCCTACGTGGTACTGGTGAGGACCGGAGCTCCCGCTCAGGAGAGCAGGTCCCATTCCTGAGGCACTGTGGCCTCTCCTGGACAGGGGTCCCACGAGACAGCAAGTGCAGGTGCCAGGCACACCATGGCCACCAGGGGACAGTCGCTTGCCCTGGGGAAGTCTGGCAGCAGGAGCCTCACAGGTCTCTCTGCTCCTTCCCAGCCTCTGTCCCCTGCCCCATGAATGGAAATAGGCAAAGGAGACCCAGCAATGGGGCAGGAGCCATGGTGGCCTTGTCCCTGGAGAATGCTGGGTCCCAGGGTCAGGTCTTTGATCTGGGACCTGAGACTCTTGATGGGGTGTCTTGCCTCTGGGTTAATAAGCACCGTTAACAAATGACATTTACTGAGCTGATATTGGGGTGACCAAGGGCCACCATGCCTCCTGAGGCTCTAGGTACAGCGTACGCTCGCCTTCTGCACCCCCTAGAGCCTGCCTATGCTACTGGGCCCATGGCCCCTTCCTGTGTATTCAGAGCCCATGACACTATGCTGACCCTGACATTAACTGGAAAAGTTCTTTTAAGGACTCATGTGGCCAAGTGGCATCTCCCCAGAGAATCCAAGATGATCTCACTACCCGAGGTGCTTCACCTTAATCCAGCTCACAGTCTCTTCTGCCCCATGGGGTAGCATAGTCACAGGTTCTGGCATTAGGATGTGGACATCTTTGGGGGGCAAGCCTTGAACAGCGCCCCGGGGAGGATATCTGGCAGCGTCTGCAGGCATTTTTAGTTCTCTCAATTTGGTGTCCTGTAGGCAGAGATCAGGGAAGCTGCCTCGCAGCACAGGGTTATCTAAGCCCTAAATGTCAATCATGCCACGCTGGTGCACACCAGCAATCCTTAGCTACTCTGGAGGCTAGGGAAGGAGGATCTCAAGTTCCAGGCCAGCCTGGGCAACTCAGCAAGACCTTTTGCAACTTAACAAAATCCTGTCTCAAAATAGAGAATTTTTAAAAAGGCTGGCAATTGGGCATGGTGGTGCATGCCTGTAATCCCAGCAACTCGGGAGGCTGAGGCAGGAGGATCTCAAGTTTGAGGCTCGCTTCAGCACCTTATCAAGGCTCTAAACAATTTAGTAAGATGCTCTCAAAACAAAGGTGGGTGGGGTGGGCTGGAGACCAGCTCAGTGGTAAAGCACCCCTGTGTTCAGTCCCCTGCACCACACATTCACACACACAATGCCCAGTCAGCAATCCTGTTCTCCTTGTGGGTGCTAGGGGGGACCAGAGGGAAAATTAGGCCCATTGGTCCCGTTGCCAAGGAAAGGTGGCCTCAGCAACCAGGGGTCCCAAGAGGGCCCACCTTTCTTGTAAAGAAAATAGGGTGCCCTGGAAGCAGAGCTTCATGGGTTTGCTATGGCAATGAGGTACGCCCCTTCCTGTCCCCAGCCATCAGCATGTATTAGAGGAACCTGGTCTCCATCAGGGACCTCAAATAATGTTTCAGTCCCCCATGGAAATGGCTAGACTACCACCCTGCCATCAGCATCTCCACTGCAGTCCCCAGAGCAAGTAGCCTCCATCTGGGAAGGCCAAGTCCCACACAGGGTGGCATGAGTCAGGACGCCCAACCAGGAGGGCCTGGGACCCCCAAGCAACTTGCAGTGGCCCCCTGGCCCCATGCCCATGGAACTAGCCAGAGGTGAGGGTGACTCTGACCTGTGTTGCCCCAGCAGCTGCCCCTGAGAGTCACCTGAAGCTGAAGGGGCCCAGGCCTCACTGGGACTAACTGGGCCAGTTTCCAAAGCCACATGGGCTGCCGGGTGCTTCCCCACCTAGGAAAGCCAGGGTGCGTCCCCTTGGCAGCCACATCAGGAGCTTCACGTCCCACAGATGGAGAATGTGACTCCGCCCCAGCAGGATCTTGGGGCTCCTGAGACCAGCTGTTGGGAACGTCAGCCCTGGTCCAGCAGCCCTGGAACCCCACAAAACCTCTTCCTCCCTCACAGACGAGAAGAATGGGGCCCAGACCCGGCCTGCCGGTGCCCCACCCCGAAGCCTGCAGCCCCCACCCAGCCGCCCAGACCCCGAGCTGAGCGGCTCTCCCCGCCGAGGCCCCCCCAAGGACAAGAAGCTCCTGGCCACCAACGGGACCCCTTTGCCCTGACCCCAGGGGGCCGGGGAAGGAGGGGAGCCCCCTCCACCCCCCTTCCCTGCCCCCCAACTGTGAATCTGTAAATAAGGCCCAAGGAGTATGTTGGGAGGGGGGACACAAGACCGGCCTTGCCCTGTAGGGATGGGGCTCCAGGGCCATACCCAGTGGGGGGTGGGTTCTCGGGGGAAAAGGGATGGGGAGCCGTTTCTATTTTATTTATTGATTAATTTATTATTTTATTTATTGATCAAACTCTGTGGGTGGGGTGGGGGAGGGATGGGAGCTGGTTGGGGTGGCTTAGCAGATCCGGACAGGGCCCTCTGTCCCTGTGTGTCCCCAGCTCCCCATTCCTGGGCCCCTCCTCCCCTGGTCCTTCACCCCCCACCCCCCATCAACCTTCTGTACGGATTTGCTCTCCGGAAGGAATTCTGGTTTCGCGTGAGCCTGCCTGCGTCCGTGTCTCTGATTCCACCGGCGGCAACAAGAACCAATAATAAACAGCCTCCATCAGGGACAGCCGGCTGGCCTTGGCCTCGCTTCCTGGGTGCCCGGATGGCAGGGCAGGCGGGCACCAGCACGTGGGCTCTGACTGGTAGCTCCAAGCCCCCACATGCACACATCCACTAGGCTCCAGGACAGGAGTGGTCAGCAGCCCCCAGAGCCAGCCGGCAGGAGAGACCCCCTGTGGTCCATCTTGGTGGGGGGAACCAGGGATTGGCCTGTTCTTTCTCCTGTAAGGGCGGGGCCCGGTCAGAGAGCCTGCTACAGCTGGACCTGCAGGGATACAGGGGAGCCTGGCGGGGGACTGAGGTCCTGCTGAGGCTGAAGGCTCAGGCTGCAGCTGTCCAGGATGGAGAAGTCCACAGCGAAGAGGCCAAAGAGTGTGAAGAGCAGCATGGCCACGGCCCACTCACAGATAGCTGAGGCAGAGCGCGGCGGCCAGAAGTAGAGGATGATCACTTTGCGCCAGAGTCAAGGGCCACACGGCTACCAAGAAGAGCCCAGGCACCAGCTCAGCCGCTGTGGGACTGAGGGCCAGGCCGAGGCCATCTCTGGTGTCTCTCATGAGCTGTTCGTCCTGCCGCGACTTGAATGGCAGGCCACTCAGCTCAGATTCTCGCCTCCTTCTCCAGACCCAAGTCCTCCCATCCCCGCTCTCCATCCTTGCATGTAACCTCTGGTTAAAGTGCACACGAGTTCCTCAGGCCCGTCTCTGCCCCGCTGACCCTTCCTGACTCCACGACAGCTCTGCCGTTTCCCCGCCTTCTGGCAGGACACCATTGCTGCGACCTCCAGGTGTTCCCCACCAGCCCAGACACCCTCTCCCACCTCACCCACAGCCCCCCACAACCGAATCTCCCCCAAGCCCCTTCTCCCCTTGTTCCTCCACCTGGGCCAGCTGGTCCCCTCTCTCCACCCTTCCTCTCAAAGGCCCCAGCCCTCCCCTTCCCTGGCTCTCCAAACCCGACTCCTTAAAGCCTCTTTCCAGACCACCAGCCCACGCAGCCTCGGAGCTCCAGCCGCACAGGGAAAGTTCTTGTTTCCTAGAACCTCTCCCACTGGAGTCCCCTTCTCCTTTGTATCAAATATAGCTCCAACCTGCCCCTCCTAGATCAGCTTAGATGTCTTTCCATTCACTCAAGGATTTCCGAATTCCTTATGTGCCAGGCAGTGGGATCAGATGGTAAATATGGCTGACATCCCTCGCCCTGGGAGTCTCATAGCAAGTCAGGTGGGAGTCCTCAAGCAGAACGTGCTTACCCCAGGACTGCCCCTGTTTCAGGGGCTTTCCATGGCTCCCGTCACTCAGGCCTGCGACCCCTCATCTTGGAGATCCTGAGCTCCTGGCCTGACCAGCCTCGTCATTCCTTTTCCTCAGCTGATTTTCCACCTCTGCACACACCTGTTCCTCCCCCAACTTCCCAGCTGGGACAAACATCTGCAGGACCAGCCTTAGATTCTCAGACCCATCTTGACAGACTCCTAGCTCTTATCCCTCTGGGCTGGCTGTCGATGGCTCCTTCCCGCTCCCTGCGACCCACCTGATCGGCAGCCCTGGTTTTGAAGATTCCAAGGGACCAGCTGGATCTTACCAACAGGGCTCCAGCAAGGGAATAAACCAGTCCCTCAGGCTGGAGTTGCTCACCCCTTCTGTGGGATTCCCGCTGCCCTTCTGGGAAGGGAGATGGCCGTCTCACCTGCGCACCTCCTGCAGCCAGCCGCCCTTCCAGCCTGCTCACTGACGAGAGGCTCCTGCTGTCTCTCCATGCACTTGAACTCCCTATCAGAATTACTCATAACGATAAAGGATATGGACCCAGGCTCAGAGGGACGGGTCCCACCCAGAGGTGTGCCAGGCTGCTGGAGCGTGTCTGCTTCTGGGGTGACTCAGAAATGAGCAGGACTGAGTCTCCCGCAGAGGCGTGCTGGCAAACGCTTAACACCGGCTTTCCTTGGAGCATTTGGCAGATATTCTGGTGTAAATACTCTCACCACGACCACTTCAAGACATTTCCCTGAAGCCACAGAACTCAGAGTTGGGAAGAGAGGTGCAGCCCGTCACTGACTCCTCAGACCTTCACCACGGGCTTTGGCCAAGAGCCTCCCCTGCCTAAACCTGCCTCCATTCTCAGACACCAGCACCATGCCTGGCTCGAGGCGGGGCCCAAACAGACTAAGATGTCATGCTCCCGGGACTACTGGCCTCCCTGCGTGCCAGGCACAGATCTCAGCACCTCACGTGCACTGTCCTCCTCACTCCTCACAATCAGGTGGACCTGTTCTTCCTGCGCTTGGTAAGTGAGGACACAGAGGCATGAAAGCAGCAGCGGAATGTCCCCCCAGCTAACACCTGGAGGAGAAGGGACCCCACTCCAGGCCTTCTGACCTCGAAGCCAGCACGTTCTGTGATGATCCTGTGGGAGACTGAGGCCCGAAGACAAGAAGGACATCCTCGGCAGCACATAGCAAGGGCGCAGAAAACTGACCCCATGCCCTGCCCCCCCCTCATGCCAATAAGGATACTGGCCACTGTGAGGATGGAGCAGAGGCTGCAGAGGGTCAGGCGCAGCAGCCAGATCCAGGGGGCTCCGGGCTGGGGCTGGCCCTTCATCCGCCAGGACAGAAGGAGCTGCAGCCAGAAGTAAAGGTTGCCCATGATGAAGGCCAGGAAGGCCCCCACCAGGTGTATGGGCTTCTGGTGTTTTTCCTGGGGGAACAGAGGAAGGAAAGTTGAGAGGAACACTGTGACAGCGGGAGGGTGATAACAGGGAGGGGCCCTTGACCACCCAAGAACTGCCAGACAGATGGCTTTCGACCAGGGACCTCGGCTATTGTCAGCTCCACAGGGCAGGTGCTTAAATCTGTTGCTCGCTACTGTAGCCTCAATGCCTAGAACAGTGCTTGGCACAAAGTAGATGCTCAGGAAACAGTGGAATAAATCTTGCATTCTCAAAAGGGGCAGGGACAGATATTGCCTCCCAGGAGGTAAAAATTTGTTCTTGAGGGTGAAAAATTCCATCAATGGTTTGTGACTTACAGCAGATATATATGTTAAAGTTTTTAAGCATTAAAAATTTTGTTGGGGGAGGAAAAAAATTGGGGGAATGTTTAAAATGACTCCTTAGGGAAGCAATATAATAATAATATTATAGTAATAAATTGAGGAATGCAGGCTTTAATGAGTGAGTGAATGAACTGCTATGCAAATGAGATGGGGAGAAAGCCTCTTGTCTGAACAGCCTGTGTTCTCTCCCCAGCTCCTATTATATCAGCAAGACAGGCTGGGTTTCAGGAACATGACAGTAAAATAAAATAGCAAAATAAATCACTACAATTTCTTTTTATCATTTGTCCATTCATTATTCTATAAATATCTACAGAGCTTCGTGACTGTGGGTTCTAGAGTCTACAAATCTAGGTTCATTTCGGTCCAGCAAGGACAAGCTGATTTGAAAGCGCTAGCATAGGACCCAAAGGACCTACCTAGAGTTCTGGGGGTAATGACAGAATTAATGTCGACAAAGTAACGCCTCCTACAGAGGGAACACTCAACAGCTGGGCCGACCACGAAGAATGAGTGAACCGAAGTAATTTCACGACTAAACCAGGGGTTGGCACAAAATTATCCCAGCCTCCTGGGGTTCCACAAGTTTGCCCGACAATGAGCCCCCCAAAGCCCCATGCAGACCGCCGCCTCCCTGACTGTGGTGAGCCCGGAAACTACATGTCCCAGGAGGCATTGCGACTGCGGCTTCCGACGCCGGCTGCCAGAGGCCGCGGCGAACGCTGGGAATTGTAGTCCACAATTGCCGGACCAGGAGGGGTGCCCCGGGCGCCCGCTGCATCTCACCTGGAAGTTGCCTACTATGGACGTCCCTAGAGCACAGAGGAGTCCCAACCACAGGATCGACTGGTTGTGACACGTTGCGACGCCCCAGTCCCGGAGCTGGTGGTAACGCACAATGCAGATCCAGGCAGCTGGGAGGACAGGGCAGTGGGCTGGAGTCCCAGCAAAGTGGAGATGGTGGAAGGGGAGGACACGGGAAAGGGCTAGGGGACAATTCCCGGATTTCAGGGAGGAGAGCTGGGGCCGGACCCTGGGTCGGAGGGAGGAGGACTGGGGACTGGCTTGTTTGGTTTGGGCTTCAGAGACTGGCGAGGCTGGGGGAGACTTACCCATGGCAGCTCCCGCATTGAGCACCTGGCTGAAGAGGCAGCTCTGCGGGGGGTCGGATCCACAGACGCTGTGAAAGGTAAAGGGCCGTCCAGTGGCTCCTCCAAGGCAGAGCCCATGCTTTCCTCCTGCAGGCCATAACTACCTGATGAAGGGGAAGCCTTCCGAGAGGTCCACAGACCTGTTGGCCACCGAGATTCCAAACCTGAGGGGGGAGGAGCACACCAAAGTGAGTAGGGGACTTTCAGGCACAACTTTTCTTTCTTTCCGTTAACCAAACACTTCATTCTGTTAACAGAACTTCTAGACCCGTCCCCCCTCAGACCCGGGGTCCACGCCCAGCCTCCTCCCTGAGACCCAGGGTCCAGGCCCAGCCCCCTCCCTGAGACCCAGGGTCCAGGCCCAGCCTCCTCCCTCAGGCCCAGCCTCCTCCCTCAGACCCAGGGTCCAGGCCCAGCCTCCT